GTGAGTACCTAGGGGTGCGGGCGGGGGGACTGTACCTTGTACCACATCCAGCTGTGGGTCAGTGAATGCCTGGGAGGGAGTGAGGTAGGGCTGTACCACGTCCAGCTGTGGGTCAGTGAGGACCTGGGGGCAGGGGCTGTACGCTGTACCATATCCAGCTGTGGGTCACAATCACAGTTGTGAGGGTGGCGTAGGTCCAGGCAGTGTGTCATTGTGTTGGGCGCAGGGTTGCTGTACGCTGGACAGCACTGGACAGCACTGGACAGCACTTCATGACAACAACAATGATTTGCTGCTAATTAATGTCTGCATTCTAGGGACGTCAGTAATAACTTCCACTGTGATTTTTAATGTTTAATATTCTTAATATTTGGGAACTTTCTTCATTGAAAAAATTCCCTTAAAATCTTGGAAAATGTTAGGTCGAATTCGATACGGAAAAACTATGAGTGGAATTTGGAAAAGGGAAAATCCTGCTGGAAGCTATGAGTGGGGATAACCCAGAAGAAATCAGATGAACCGTTTCCTATGGAACATGGGAGAGAAGGAAAGGGGTGGGAGGTAGTGAGTGTCCCATGTCCACTGTGGGGCAGAGAGGGAGCTGTGCCCTCAGGGAGGCTGACTGGGCTGCCTGCCCACCACAGGCTACATCCACCTCATGTCTCCGTTCATCGAGCGCATCCTGTGGCATGTGGGTCTGTCTGCGTGCCTGGGCCTTACGGTCGCCTTGTCCCTCCTGTCGGACATCATTGCCCTCCTCACCTTCCACATCTACTGCTTCTATGTCTACGGTGCCAGGTGGGCGGCCCCTCAGGTCCCTGGCCCTCTCCCACCCCCTAGCTGCCCACCTGCTGACTGTTGGCACCCACAGGCTGTACTACCTGAAGATCTATGGCCTATCCTCACTCTGGCGCCTGTTCCGAGGGAAGAAGTGGAATGTTCTACGGCAGCGCGTGGACTCGTGCTCCTATGATCTCGACCAGGTGTCTGTGAGGCTAGGGGCATGCTTGCCACAGGGCTGGCAGGGCTGGCGGTGCCTGGGCAGCTCTGCCCTTTGGGGCATGAGGGGCAGCACCCTCCCAGCTTTGGCAGGGCCTGAGTCCTGTTTGGGTGGTTCCTGTTGCTCACACTGGCCTCCCGCAGCTCTTTATTGGGACCCTGCTCTTCACCATCCTGGTCTTCCTCCTGCCCACCACAGCCCTGTACTACCTGGTGTTCACCCTGGTGAGTCCTGCCTGGGGTCCCTGGCCGTGGGAGGCAGGTGGGTAGCACTGTGGGGAGGGGCTCCGAGGGCTCTGAGCACCGTCTCTGTCACAGCTCCGGCTCCTGGTGGTGACCGTACAGGGTTCCCTACACCTGCTGGTGGACCTCATCAACTCGCTGCCGCTCTACTCGGTGGGGCTGCGGCTCTGCCGGCCCTATAGGCTCGCTGGTGGGTGCTGCACTGCAGGGGCCGGGGCACAGAAATGCCCATATCCCCTCACAGAGAATTCCCCTTGTGTTTCTCAAGAGCTTTCTCACCCTGGGAATCCCAGGCTGGGAGCCGACACCCTCGGGGCAGGCGGTCCGGCTGTGGTGTGCTAACCCTGAGACCCCACCCACGGCAGCCACTCTAGGGGTACAGTGCGGTGGCCAGGGGCTTAGGGCAGGGCTCTTTGCTCTTGTTTCAGCCGGTGTGAAGTTCCGGGTCCTAGGGCATGAAGCTGGCAAGCCTCTCCGCCTCCTGATGCAGGTAACGTCTGCCCCTCGGTGCCGCCAGGGCCAGGTGCCCGCCAAGGCTTCAGGAGCTGAGGACAAGGCTGTGGGGGACCCCTCACCCCCCTTGCTCAGACACATACCCACCCATAGCACAGCTGGAGTCCTGGCCTTCCAGCCTGGGTGGGGGTTCCCCTCCGGGTTCATGTTCTTGTGGACGTGGCCGGGCCCTGGCAGCTCAGGTGTGTACCCTGGGGCCTGTAGTTGGCTGCCTGGCCTGGCTGGCTCCTGCACCTGAGTTTCTGGTTCCCCTTTATGCTGGGGAGGTCAGATGGCGGTCCTCCCAGCCCAGACTCAGCCGGCCTCACCTCACCTCACCCCTGCACCCTTCCCAGACCACAGAGAGCTCCGCCTCCCGGGTAGCACCCTGTCTGAGCGCAGCCTTCTCCTGCAGATAAACCCACTGCCTTATAGCCGTGTGGTGCACACCTATCGCCTCCCCAGCTGTGGCTGTCACCCCAAGCTCTCCTGGAGTTCCTTATGCCGGAAGCTCTTCTTTGGGGAACTCATCTATCCATGGAGGCAGAAGAGCTGCAAACAGGACTGAGGACTGGTCACCACCTCAGCTGTTACACAAACTCAGCCTGTTACTGGGTGTGGGGGCCTGAGCGCCTCTGTGTTCCGTTCCAGGGCCTGAGGTCATCATTTGTTTTGGGACCCAGATCCAGGTCCTGTCTGGTCTAATGCCCTGGGAGTGCCCATTTGCCACTGCCGGTCCTCTCCCAGGGGTCCTGTCCACACACATACACAGGGCTCCATCCTCATGTTTCCTCTGAGGGCCTAAGGGTGGGAGGGCCTTACCGGAAGAGCTGACAGGCATGGATGCCCCTTGGCAGGAGGCCAGTCTGGCTCCACTCACTGGTCTCACCGGAGGTGGAGCCCCATGTCGGGGTGGGACCCCTAGGGAAGCAGTCCTGGCCCTCTGGCTGGGGCTGTGTGGGGGTGATGACACCACGTGGAACGGCCTCTGGTACTGTCATCTTTGCATGGATGCTGTGGAGATCACAGCAGTGACATCTGGGATAGGGCAGCGTGGGGACCACCACTGTGACAATAGACCCTCTGCAACCACCTGACTATGTCTCTTCTTTAACTGTGGGTAGAAGTTGGGGGATACGGCCATCTCCACCCCACCCCACCCCCAGTGGGGAGGTGGGAGAGACTGTTTCACATGGTTGGTTCTGACAGTGGCTTGTTTGTACTGGGCGAGCCAGTGGACGGGCCCTCCTTAAGAACACAGATCCCAGAACCCACAGGCTTCCTGACCAGACTGACCTTCAGTGCCCTGGGATGGTCACTCACCTCTGTGCTGGACACTGGGTTGTCTGCCCACCTGCCCTCCTTTACCTGACACCAAAGTTGGACAAGGGGACATTGGTCATCTGGCCACTCCCTTGGCACCAAGATGCCAGCTGTTGCCTCCCACCTCTCCTGTCTCCACTGCCCAACCGTATCTGAGGCAATGACCAGGGCAGAGGTTTCAGGCTGGCCCTTTGTCCTGTCAGAGTCTGGCGCCTGTCCTTGATGGCCCCACCCACTTGACCAGCTACTCAAGGAAACAGTCCCCACCTACTCTTGACCCCACCCACCCCAAAGGTACATAACAAAAAAAATCTATTTTAACTTTGAGCATAAGATTCATTATATTAACCATGCTGTGAAACCTTATCATTATCTTCAAAACTCTCAGCACCCCAAACAGAAACCACACAGTCAATAATGAGCCCCATTGTCCCTCCCAAGTCCTGGGGTGGCGCTGGATGATAAACACTGGACTATTAACCGCAAGGCTGGCATCACCAGCTGCTCCTTGGAAACCCTTGACAAGGTTGGCACATCACCACCATTCTCCCCCACCACGCTCGGGTACCTTGTCGTCTGTCTGTCTCTATTGTAGAGATTTAATGAAGAGGGTTGGTTGTAACATTTGCCTTTTTGGTGCCTGGCTGCTGCCTTCATTCAACAGCACGTTCTCATGGGTCACCCACGCCTAGCCTGTGTGAGGACTTGACTCCTCTCTCCGGCTAATGAACCACTATGTGAATGGATCACGTCATCTTCACCGTCTGTGTGGCTCAGCGGGGTAATCTATGGAAAATAGCACCCGTGGCAGCTTTAAATTGTTGAATGATCTCTCTCAGCTGACAACAGATGCTACTGCCCTTCCAGTGGCTCCCAGGGCTTGTACTGCAGCCACCATTTCCCTAAGACCTGCTTTGTGTGGACTCCTATTTTCGCTTCTCTTGGGTAGATACTTTGAATTGTAGTTTTTATGTTTAATCTTTATTTTCAATTACATGTCATATGTGAATATGTTCTCATGAAAAAGTTATCAATGAAGACAGGTACTCACCCCTCCCCCTGCCTGAGCATATGATGCCATCATTGGGGGAGCGCCTCCCATAGCTTTTCCGGTGACATGTGACTTTGGACTTGGTGTTGACATAGAAAGCTGGGCAGGCTACACTGCTATTTGCTTTTTCTCTTAGACGCACCTCTCTGGGGAGCTTCCTGCTCCAGTACCTGCTCTTATCACGCTCCCTTCGGTGGTGGTGGTACCATTATCCATATGCTTCAGTGGTTCGGTTCTGCACTAGTTGCTGGAATTTGTTTGAGGGCATCTCCCAAGTAAGGCGAGTCATCTGTCCACACATCTATCTCCACAAAGGCTTTGTGAGTCAGTCCACCAAAGACCCTCCCACCACACACTGGTCCACAAAGATGTGGTTCCCTTTAGACTTGGAGAAGGGTTGTTTCGCTTTAGTTTACATTTCACCAGTTGAAGCTGTGCAGCTTTCCCATGATCACTGGCTACTCGTACCTCAACTCTTGGCCCTTTAATGATAGCTCAGCCATCCTGTAAAACCTCAAAGTCATTTTCTCCTGGAGCCAGCCAGGTGGTGACTCAGAGCCACATGCCTCTACCCCTCCCCCCCCTGCGTACCTGGGGACGGACTGAAAACCAACCCCTGGGTGAGGCCATGAAGGTTCTAGAGCATTGTTTTTAGGTGCCACTGAATCTATTCTAACTCAGAGCCACCCTATGTACTGCTGGTTCCTGTGCCATCCTCACAATTGTTACGGTTAAGCCCATTGCTCCTGCCACGATGCCAATTCACTTACTGGGGGTCTTCCTCCCTTCACTGACCCTTTGCTGACATCCACCAAGCACGATGTCCTTCTCCAGGGGATGATCCCTCCTGATAATATGTCCTAGGTACGAGAGAAGCTCACCATCTTGGCTGTATTTCTTACAACACAGATTTAGTTGTTTTTCTGGTAGTCCATGGTACTTGTAATAATCTTCTCCAACACCATTAACTCAAATACATTAATTCTTCTACAGTCTTCCTTCTTCACTATCCAACTTTCAGACACATAAGAGGCTATTGAAAATACCACGGCTTGAGTCAGGCACAGCTTAGCTCTCAAACTGACATTTTAGCTCTTAAAACACTTTAAAAACGTCTTTTGCAGCAGATTTGCCTAAAACATTAGGAGACCGCTGAATACCAGGCCTCGTGGCTGACCAAGTGGCTCACTTCGAGTACTTGCAGCCCTCGCCCCCCGGAGGGTGGAAGTCTTGGGATAATGGCCAGGGCCATTCCATGGGTCCAGCCCGCAGACTCGTGGGTGGGCACACAGGCTCCCACCCTCATTCTAAGACTGCCTCTGGCCGTACCCACTGTCCCCTGGCCCAGTCACTGCACAATCCAGCTCCAGAGCCTCGCCACCCGACCCACTGCCCCCTGCTGTTCCCCAGCCTAGTCACCAATGTCGTTCCGCTCTACTGTCCCCTGCGTGGCCTTGCCATTTCAAGCCCTGAAACCCCACGGCCCGCCTTCACTGTCCCCTGGCCCCACCACCAACTCGCCCTTCAACCTGCCTGCCGTAACTCCCAATCCCCAGCCCATCGGGAACGGAAGTCCCACCCTTGAAGTGCCCGATCGTCGATTGGCCGCTCCTGCCAGCCCGCTGCTAGGAGGACCCCCTTGCAAAGTAGTGGGTCGCAGCTAGCCAGAGGCTTCGTTTTCCCGAGCCCTGCCGCTTTCTCCGGGGACCACCACTCTCCCGCGCCCGGTCCGCAAGAAAGAAGGGCACTTATGCAAACAAGCCTGGAGTTCCAAGCTCCTGATTGGTGAGGGTAAGGCAGAGGGGCCGGACAGGCCAATGGCGCTGGAATGACTAGCAGCAACTGCCAATGATGACAGCAAGGGGGCGGGCAAGAGCGAAGACGGGCGGAGTGGCCAATGTCTCCAAGTGCTCTCCCGGAAGCGCTGATGGACGTGCAGGCGGACCAATAATTCCGGGAAAGTGGGGGGATGGGCGGCCGGAGACACCGCAGCGATGTGAGGAGCGCAATGGAGGCGGGCATCCATGACGGATGTGCGTTCAGGCTAATGGTCGCGGTCAAGCGGACGGCGAGCAGCCAATGGTTCCGGTGATGGGCGGGGCGGCTGAAGGCTCCGCGGCGCTGTGTGGGAAAAGGCGTGGGCGGTACGTCCGTGACGGACGTGCGTTAGAGCCAATGGCTGCAGGAGGCCAGACGCGGGTGGCCAATGGCGACGGCGCAGTCGGGGGCGGGGCACGAGCTGCGCGACGCCGTGAGGGAAGCGGTGGGGCCCGGGCGGCGACGGGCGGGTGCGCGCAAGACGGCGCGCCGCGTTGTGTTCCGGGCTGCGGGCGGGGCAGCCACCGCTCTTCGGCGCCTCCTGCCGCCAGGTCTCAGCAGCTCCCTGGAAGGCCGGGCTCCGGCCTAGTCGCTCTGTTCACTCTGTCCGTCGCCCTCAGAGTCTGCAGGCCGGGCCTGCGCCCATGCGAAGACAATGGGCATTCAGGGCAGCCTAGTGAAGAGCTACGACTACCTGCTCAAGTTCCTTCTGGTGGGCGACAGCGACGTGGGCAAGGGCGAGATCCTCGAGAGCCTGCAGGACGGCGCCGCCGAGTCGCCCTACGCCTACAGCAACGGTGAGGCCGGCTGGGACCCGCGCCGGGCCGGAGACAGGGGTCCGCCGCCGGGCGTGGGGACGACGGCCTGCCGCCGGGTTTGGGGATGGGGGTCCATCACTGGGCCCGAGGAGCAAGAGTTCCACTGTGGGGGCTGTGTGGATAATGGATGGGGCTCCACTGCCTGCAGATGGGGATTTACTGCCAGGCCCGAGGTTGGGGCTTCTGGTCCTGTGTCCAGGGCATGTCCTGCTGGCCTTGCGAATGGGCCCGTCCTCCAGTAGTGCAAACCTGTCCCCTGAGGCTCCTTCATCCAGGCTCCGTCCCCCTGTGCCATCCAGGAAGCCCTGGCTGGCAGAGCCTTTGTCTCCCCGACGCAGGCCTGCAAGTCGGCTCTGCTAGGCCCCAGGAGGACTTTTCCTGGGAAGACGGCCTTTGCCTGTAGGTTTGATGGACGCTCGTCCATCAGCGTTGGCCCAGACCCCAGCCCGAATCCCCTAAGGCATCGCCTCACAGAAGTGGGGCACATTGGCTTGTGTGTGGGCACACCGTTCTCATTGTCACCCCCACACACGCCCCCGTTGAGCCGGGGGTGGGATG